TAGCATTCAGGGAGAGAACATTCTCGATTCGCCACTCCTCTTTGTTGAAGGACATGTTTCCTGACATTGCTCTTTAATGGCTTAGTTCTTGTTTTCAGTTTATGTCCCTTTGCCCTGGACTTCCCTATTGGACAAAGTTGTCTCCCTCTTTTTCCCAGAGTGGGGGACTCAATTACTAGGGGTCACGATTTCAAGGTGAGAGGGGAAAAGTTTAATGGAGATATGTGTGGAAAGTTCTTTACGCAGAGGGTGGTGGGTGCCTGGAACGCGTTGCCAGCGGAGGTGGTAGAGGCGGGCACGATAGCGTCATTTAAGATGTATCTAGACAGATACATGAATGGGCAGGGAGCAAGGGATACAGATCCTGGGAAAATAGGCGACAGGTTTAGATAGAGGATCTGGATCGGTGCAGGCTTGGAGGGCCGAAGAGTCAGTTCCTGTGCTGTAATTTTCTTTGTTGTTTGTTCTCTTCATTTACTCTGTTAAAGTAGGCCCAATTTTAACTGCGACAACTATGCTCAAGGAATTATTTCATTTGAAAGTCTCACAAGCCAAAATCATCCGCTTGCCTTCACTTCTTCACCAGTTTGCCCTTGTCTTAAGAGGCGATGACCGACACATAAGACATAGGTGAAGTAGGCCATTCAGCCCATCGATTCAGTGTGAACTTGACTGCTCTGATAATCCACTTTCCTGCCTCTTCCCCATAACCTGGTAAAAAAAAATCTATCTCAGCCTTGATTATACTAAATGACTCAGCCTTGACAGCCTTTTGCGGCAAAGAATTCCACGGATTCACCGTCCTCAGAGGGAAGAAATTCCTCCTCGTCTCTGTCTTAAAATGGGTGAGCCCTCTGACTCTGGACTATCCCATAAGGGGAAACAACCTTTCCGCACCTACCCTATCAATTTCTCTAAGAGTCATGTACGTTTCAATGAGGTTGCCCCCTTTTCTCCTAAATTCCAATGAGTACAGGCCCAAATCTCTCTTCATAAGGCAGTCCATTCATGCAGGCAGACAAGTACAAGGGATAATGGAGTGGGGAGAGGATGGAGGAGGGGGGCAGTGAGCGCATGGAACTGATGCTGATGCCTCCTCTGGGATTGACTCAAACGGTTGAGTGAAATACAGGCACCTTCACAATGAACGCTCTGTGCTTTTAATTAGCAGTGAATCAGACCAATTCTAAATCTCAGGTGCTTCCAACTGTTTGGCTTTGATACCCATGTCCAGCTGAATGCTTTTATACAAATGACATCCCTCTGGGACGTTCTTAGATTGATTTTTCTAGTTGTGCGACATGGTGTAGTTCCAGTTAGACCAAAGAGAATGACCTCTTTAATGAGTAGAGCGAAGATTGGCTTCTAGGAAGTACATCCCTCCTACCATTGTGAATCAAATGTGCTACATACCTTCTCCAAATAACAATCCTTGTTTGTTTTTCTAATTTCTAACTGAGACCTTATCTTTTTCCCCTCATTAGATCCCAACACTTCCTCCACTCCTCATGGTGCAACTGCACAGATTTTAACTCATATTGTTTTCTGCTCATTTGACGGGAGATTTTAGTATTACTGGCCAAATAAAACTGATAAAACTAAGAGATAGTAGGAACTGCAGATGCTGGAGAATCCGAGACAACAAGGTGCAGGGCTGGATGAACACAGCAGGCCAAGCAGCATCATAGGAGCAGAGAGGCTGACGTTTCGGGCCTAGACCCTTCATCAGAAAAGGGGGAGGGGAAGGGGGTTTTGAAATAAATAGGGAGAGAGTGGGAGGCGGATAGAAGAGGGATAAAGGAGAGGATATGTGGAGAGGAAACAAACAGGTCGAAGAGGCGGGGATGGGGCCAGGAAAGGTGAGTGTAGGTAGGGAGTTAGGAAGGGGATAGGTCAGTCCAGGGAGGACGGACAGGTCAAGGGGGCGGGATGAGGTTGGTCGGTAGGAGATGGAGGTGCGGCTTGAGGTGGGAGGAGGGGATAGGTGGGAGGAAGAACAGGTTAGGGAGGCAGGGACGAGTTGGACTGGTTTTGGGATGCGGTGGGGGGAGGGGAGATTTTGAAACTTGTGAAATCCACATTGATACCATTGGGCTGCAGGGTTCCCAAGCGGAATATGAGTTGCTGTTCCTGCAACCTTCGGGTGGCATCGTTGTGGCACTGCAGGAGGCCCAGGATGGACATGTCGTCTGAGGAATGGGAGGGGGAGTTGAAATGGTTCGCGACTGGGAGGTGCAGTTGTTTGTTGCGAACCGAGCGTAGGTGTTCTGCAAAGCGGTCCCCGAGTCTCCGCTTGGTTTCCCCGATGTAGAGGAAGCCACACCGGGTACAGCGGATGCAGTATACCACATTGGCAGATGTGCAGGTGAACATCTGCTTGATGTGGAAAGTCTTCTTGGGGCCTGGGATGGGGGTGAGGGAGGAGGTATGGGGGCAGGTGTAGCACTTCCTGCGGTTGCAGGGAAAAGTGCCGGGTGTGGTGGAGCTGGAGGGGAGTGTGGAGCGGACAAGGGAGTCACGGAGAGAGTTGTCCCTCCGGAAAGCAGATAAAGGTGGGGAGGGAAAGATGTCTTTGGTGGTGGGGTCGGATTGCAGATGGCGGAAGTGTCGGAGGATGATGCGTTGGATCCGGAGGTTGGTGGGGTGGTACGTGAGGACGAGGGGGATTCTTTTTTGGTTTTTATTGCGTGGACGGGGTGTGAGGGATGAGGTGCGGGAGATGTGGGAGACACGGTTGAGGGCATTCTCGACCACCGAGGAGGGGAAGTTACGGTCCTTGAAAAACGAGGACAACTGAGATGTACGGGAGTGGAATGCCTCATCCTGGGAGCAGATGCGGCGGAGGCGAAGGAATTGGGAATAGGGGATAGCATTTTTGCAGGAAGGTGGGTGGGAGGAGGAGTATTCTAGGTAGCTGTGGGAGTCGGTGGGCTTGAAATGAATATCGGTTTCGAGGTGGTTGCCCGATATGGAGACAGAGAGGTCCAGGAAGGGGAGAGAGGTGTTAGAGATGGATAAAACTAAGCCTTTCTTTTCGTGTTATCAAAAATGTTCCCACCTGCATATCCCTTTTGCATGGCTGCTCATTTCTTATCAGCTTGCATTGATACAGCACCTTTAGTTAGGTTTAGGCTTTGACGTTCAATTTAACAAAGAGGTTTTTGGGAAATTTGATGCTTGACAGCTGTCAATGTGGAGTAATGATAGCCAGGGTCACTCAAGAGGCTATAACTGGAGGAGCACAGAGATTGCATTAAAAGAATACACAAGCTGAAACCTCTATCCCCTCCCACCACCCCCCCCCAATCTTTGGTAAGACAAGCTCCCTCCCCTCACCCCAATCATTTTCGAATCTCACGTTTTCATCCTCCAATTTTTTGGGTCCTCAGTCCTCCACCATGTTTTTTTTTCCCCGATGTTTTATCCAAGCTCAAGGTGTTGGGAGGAGCGCTCCAATTGGAGGCAACTGGTAGCAAGTTGATGATCATGACTGTGCCCCCAGAGGATGAGCTGTGGGAAGCTGGTTCCCCTGCCAGTGACAATTCCCAGCTTGGCTACGATGCCAGGCCATAAATGACCAGGAATGTCGATTCTTTCTTGTCAATTCCACATCGCAATGGTGACTACACTTTGAAAGTACTTAGAGTGGTAGAGCTGTAGAGTTTGTGCAGCACGGAAACAGACCCTTCAGTCCAACCTGTTCCTGCTGAACAGATCTCCTAACTTAATCTGGTCCCATTTGCCAGCATTTGGCCCTTATCCCTCTAAATCCTTCCCATCCAGATGTCTTTTAAATGTTGTTACTGTACCAGGCTCCATCACTTCCTCTGGCAGTTCTTTCCATACACGTACCACCCTCTGCGGGCAAAAGTTGCCCTTAGGTCCCTTTTAAATCTTTCCCCGCTCACCTTAAACCTATGCCCTCTAGTTTTGGACTCCCCCACTCCAGGGAAAAGACCTTGTCTATTTACCATGTCCATGCCTCTCATGATTTTATAAACCTCTGTAAGGTCATCTCTCAGCCTCTGACATTCCAGGGAAAATAGCCCCAGCCCATACAGCCTCTCCCTATAGATCAAACCCTCCAAACCCTGCCAACATCCTTGTAAATCTTTTCTGAGCACTTTCAATTTTCACAGCATCTTTCCTATAGCAGGGAGACCAGAATTGAATGCAATATTCCAAAAGTGGCCTAACCAATGTCCTGTTCAGTTGCAACATGACCTCCCAACTGCTATACTCAATGTTCTGACCAATAAACATCTTTGGCTGGTGGTCATGACAGGTGCTACAAAAATGCGGGGCTTCCCATCTTCTTTGTTAATATGCACATCTGGTACTTGCTTCAAGAATGCAATTCAGTTAGTCTCCCAGACGTGCTTTACGGCCAGTGAATTATGGATTTTGAAGTGTAGTCTCAGTTGCACATAGGCAATGCTATAACCGATTTGCACTTAAGTTCCCAATAACAACAATGTGATAATGACTGATAAACTGCTGCTGGTTGAGGGATTATTACTGGCCAGGACCCTGGGGAAATCTCCCAGTCTCTTTTCTGGAAGATGGGATCTTTCAAATTCACTTGAGCGGGCAGGAGAAGTCTCAACTTAAGGTCTCATTGATGAGTTGGCATCTCCAACTGTGCAGCACCTCCTGCTGTACTGCACTGGGAGTGTCAGTCTCAGATTTATGTCTCTGGATGCGGAGCTTGAACCCGTGTCCTTCTGACTCTCAGACAAGATCCAAGGCTGACAATTAAAGTGCATCACTGCAGAGGTATAGACGGAGAGACCAATATGTGTGGCACGTACTGGGAACTGCAGACTGGCACCATCCCAAGCTCTTAATTGTTCACACAATAAATATCGAAATGTGGATTAAAATGAAACATGTTGGAGTGCAAATCTTTTCTCATTTTTACATTTTTATGATCTTGTTTTAATTGAGGCATTCATCATGTGGAAACAGTTCTTCAGTAATGTATTCTAGAGTCTACAGTGTTCCTTTAACAATGACTTTATTAAGACAGTATTTCAAATCTACAAGGAAAACAATCATTTGCGTCCTCACGGGAGGCAAGGTGATTACTGTGCCTCCAGCGCACGTTGCAAGCCTCTGACATTATGCCCCACAAAGTTGTAGAAACCAGTCGACAACTGCAAGTCAAAGGAGGCCCACTAAACGTAACTCCCTGCCCAAGGCCCCACAGAGCGCTCCCGCGTGGAGGGGGGGAGGGAAAGTGGGTCAGTAGTAATAATCCACCCAAAGAACAGGCTAGTGCCTCACACCACACCATCCTCCAACCTCACATCACCCACAGGGCTGTGGGTAAGGCACTGCCCTCTTTGCCATTTGGACTAAATAATTTACCTCAAAAATGAACGCACGACCATATGACGCTCACAAGAATCTTTACATGTGTATGTTGTGCGCTGGTGACCACATGTATGTAAACTAGCATCACAAAAAAAAATACGGCTAACGCATACAGGAAGTGGTAGAATAACACACAATGCACAGCTCAGAAACAGGCCATTCGGCCCAAGTGTATGTGCTCCACACAAACCTCCTGTCGCTCTAATCCGTCTCAGGTTATTGCCGTATCCTTCTGTTCCTTTCTGCCTCGTGTGTTGGCCTAATCTTCTCCTTAAGGCAATTACGATACCAGTCCCACCCATTCCAAAAGATGGCACCCATCACTTCCCACTTGGCAAACAGGGAGGTGATGCCTTAGCCAAGCGCACATCTGGATTGACCTCCGCTACGGCCGGGTCATTGCTGAGGCCGAGGTTGAAAGAAAATGCCACAGGCCACATGCGCAGCATGCATACAGCGTGCACCACAAGATATGGTTACAGTCACCACTTCCCAGTTACCTGCATGATAGACAAGGAACGCCTACTCCAGGTAGAAACTGAGCATCATAGATAAGAGCTGGTCACCAGGGATGTGCAAGTGCGCCACAGACATTCAAATATACGTCATAATACCATATATATATATATATATAAATGTACGCATGTATAGGAGATGTACATTATATAATACATTTATTCCAGAGAAAGAAATGCACGCAGAGGTTTCCCTCCACCAACCGGCTTTGCTTACGACCCCCAAAAACTTGGAAAGATTTGTCCAAAAACTTCGTCGCTCAAACCCTATCTCAAGTTAAGAGGAAACTTGCCTTCCGTGTGTCCTGTTTTGTGACATTAAACTGTTAAACAGGACCTTGGTGGCACATTGATCTTTCCACTTCTGGGACTTGGGTTCTGAACCAGCCTGCATTCCTGGAAGGAATTCTTACGTTATGCAACGTAATTTTGGCACTGTCCACCCCTCTTAACGGGTTAAGTTCATTCCTTGGTCTGTTGTAAACGGAATTGTTAAAACGCTGGCTACAAGGAGTCAGCTGTGTCACAATCGAATTCTACAGTTGACACCGGAGAGGGGAGGGGGGCGCGCAAGCTGGTCCCAGGCTCCTGAACCTGATGTTGGGAACACCTTGCGAACCTGTGACCTTTGGCACTTAGAAGAATAAGGGCCGGAGGTGTAGGGGAATGCCAACTCTCCCCTACCTCATCCCACCACCTCCAAGCTGCCCATGAGAGCTCCACAACCGAACTGAATTGGCACAGCCATCACCATTCCTTCATGGTCAGAGCCAGAGACCCAGAACTCTCTCCCTAACGGCATGATGGGAGCATCTTCATTACACGCTCTGCAGTTCACCAAGGAGGTGGCTCGTCACCACCTTCTCAAAGGCAGTTGTGATTGGGCAACACACGCCAACCTTGTAAACAATGCTCATACCACCAGAATGTATTCACGAAGATAGCCCAGTGCATGGATCACAGCATTAGGTTCGCTGCCTTCAGCTGGATGGTTCCCAATGCACCCCGTCCAGATCTCAAAGACGAAGTGAGTGCAGCAAAGGGCTGCCGGAGCCTGTGGAAATGAGCGATCGCTTGACATGCTCCACCCCCCCACCACCTCACCCCACCCCCATCTTTTTCGGACGGACGAGGAGAGACGACGGGAGCCGGATTTCAGGCACACTGGATGGTATAGTTCATTGCCAGCATTACACCGAAAGAAAGATCAAAACGAAATAACATATTGTCATATAACAGAGATGCGGCTGGTACTGGGTCATCTAGTGCTAATTCACATTCAACAACACACAAAAATAAAAACGTTGAAAGATCTGAGTGGCATCGGCTGAACCACTGCCAAGTAACACATTGCAAAGCCTGTGTTCAAAAAGTCAGCGTTTATTCTCACGTTTTCTTTAATCATTGTTTGGTAAAGTCTTGCTGATTCAGCCTTGCTGGGCTTGACGGATCTGCTTCTGGTAACAGATGGGGTGGTTTGAGCAGCTTTTCCCACCTTAAGAGGGACACTCAAGAAATCCTTCCTCATAACTCTGGCCACCCAGTTAAAGCCTTTGACCTTCAGGGCTGCGTGAACACCTTTCACCCCCCACCATGCCACTCCCACCCCAGAAAGCAAACAATATCTTCGCCCTCATTCCCTCCCCTTCCAGGCAAAAAACACTGTTTCAGAAAAGTCAACACACTGTGTATTAAATAATAATAGATAAAAGTCCTCTGACATCAACAGACACTGCATAGGCCTCAAGACAGTGCCCAATAAAACACTCTCCTGTCACAGACAGGAGACATATGAATACTAATCTGCCATAACTATTAGATCACGCTTGTCCAAAAGGCACTCTGCATGTGGTCCATAATTTCTTTTAAGCTCTGCTTAAACGGTTGAATCCAGCTTCACATCAACGAACAGCAAATGTTGAGGGCCTCATCTTTTAAGTCAGACCGCCGACCCCCCCCCCCCCCCACCCCAGAAGGATAAGTTTGAGGCGTGGTCTCAGGATTCGCTCCCGGATTCGGAAAGCACTGAACCTACTGGCGGGCCCCAAACGCAGGACGAACAATTCCAAAGACAGAAAGTAAACACCAGAAAAGCTACACGGCACTGCATTTTGAAATACTTCCTTCACAGCATGGGACAGAACAAACCTCAGCGTGTTTTCTGGATAGTAATGCCAGTTTCAGGCTGCGATCAAGTCAGCCTGCTTTTACTTCACCCCAAAGTTCACAGTCAGGGGAGTAATGATGGCTCATATCCTTGGGAAAATAGTCAAATTAAGGCTTTATAGTGCTGACTCTTAAGAGGTTCTGAATTATGCCCCTCAATTAACTGGGTGGGAGGCAAAGTGTGGTTCGCTCAGAATGAAAATGGTTAAGACTCAAAGGTATTTCCTTACTTACTGCATCCTCTTGTTTGTTACTGCCAAGTTATTGATAATAACAAAGGCATTTTTTGTTTCGTTTAATGTCTGCTCCCCTTATTATGATCACGCTTCTGAGCAGCATTTCTGCTGGTTCATTTTCACTTTGTGCTTGATCCCGTCGTAGAGCTCAAAGTTGTAGTTCTCCAGGGTAGTGGAGCTCCGGCTTGATAGGCCGGCATAGCAGCAAGTGCAGTACAACAAGAGCCCAGCACAAACTGCACCAAGGAGGACCCCCACCGAACTCATGACAATGATGGTAACCAGAATGGGGTCCAGGGAGTACAGCCAGTTCTTGTCCTTCCCAGATGTAGGGGTGACTGACATCCCATCGGCGGGCACCACTGTACTCGAATCTCCATCTTTCCAAGCATTCAAGTCAGATCCCACATCTGCAAAGCAATGAAAGCAATTGTTAAATTGCTGCATTTTTATACCACTGTATTCTACCTGAGCACGTATCCAATCTCTGTATGACTGTGATCATATTCAGTTGTATGTATCATATATGAGTGGATTTGCAAGACGTACTGCAACAGCTCGGTAAGTCTTCGTTGGCAGTGTCTCCAAATGCATGACCTTCACGGTCTAGAAAGACTAGGGCAGCAGATAGGCCATGAGCTGATTGAGTAGCATATGGAAAAGCAGACTCAATGGCCTATTTCTGCTCCTGTATCATATGATTTTCTGGATTGATGGAGTCCAAGTCGCTCACTGTGTGAGCTTCTTAAAAAGACATTCTTTAATTCATTCATAGAATGAGGACATCGCTGGCTAGGCCAGCATTCATTGCCCCATCCCTAATTGCCCAGAGGGCAGTTGTGAGCCAACCACATTGCTGTAGGTCTGGAGTCACATGTAGGCCAGACCAGTAGTTTCCTTCCCTAAAGGACATTAGTGAACCAGTTGGGTTTTTCCCCCAACAATTGCCAATTGTTTCATTAGACTCTTAATTCCAGATTTTTATTGAATTCAAATTCTACCATCTGCCATGGCAGGATTTGAACGCAGGTCCCCAGAACATTACCTGGATCAGCAGTCCAGTACTAATACCACTAGACCATCACCTCCCCACAGCGCTTTAGTCACCGCTCTTCACTGTCACTATCACCTACTCAATAGTGCTATGAGTATCTTCAACCCATGGGCTGGGCAATAAACCCTGACCTAGCCAGTTATGCACAAATCTTGAGAATGAATACAGCATTTTTTTTTAATAATAGCTACAGGTTGAGATTTCTTTGATCCAATGGAGTTGTGCATCACCTTGATTCGAACACACTCAGAGTACTGTCAAAATTTCCGGTCTCCATATTATCAAAAGGACACCAAGGCACTGGAGAAGTTACAAAAAGATTTGTGTGATATATCCCGGAACTGAAAGGTTATACTTGTCAAGAAAGGCCAGTGAAAGGAAAGATTGAGACAGGACCAGAAAACAGATCTTTTAAGGTCAACGTAGAAAAGATATTTCCACTTACAGTCGGGATCAGAACTCAGTGTGATCAATAGAAGAGAGACTGGGAGTAGTTAAGAATATGCAACTCTCTACCACATGGTGAAGTTCAGACTGATGTCATTGATACCACAAGACAAAGTTAGATAAACACAAAAGGGATTAAGGAATAGAAGATCTGCAGAGAAAAAGAGATAAGTAGGGTGAGAGGAGATGAAGTGCTAGAAAAACTCAGCAGGTCTGGCAGCATCTGTGGAACGAGAAACAGACTGAACACTTCCCATTCTGAAACAGTGCTGTACTGGAGTCGAAACGTCAACTCTGTTTCTTTCTCCATGGTGTTCTGCCAGACCTGCTGAGTTTGTCCAGCACTTTCTGCTTTTATTTAAGATCTCTTGCATTTTGGTTTCAGACTGGGGGTGAGAGGAGGTTCCTGTGGAACGTAGACAGCCTTAAGTGAGCCTGGAAAAACCCATTTTAACATCGTAATGTAGAAAGTGGTTCTGCATTGTCTCAATGCTTCAGTAGGTAAACGCCCCTGTTTGTGCAGGTTAATGTAAACAGGTTGGGAAAGCTAGGGAATCAATCCTTTGACTGTGCTGAGTGAGTGCCGCTAGTCAGCTAGTGGCTGTGAGTCCCTATAAACCTGGCCTGTGCAATGGGAGCGGACCTTAGCAGTGTTCCTTAAACAACTCCTTAAGCTGTTTCAGCTCCGCATAAGGCAGCAAAATAGATGAAATGGTTGCAAAAGCATTCGGGAGTAACATAATGAAAAAGTGTCCCGCATCTGGTCAAAACTGGCCACAGTGCCACTGCATATGGTTAGGGACAAGGCCTATGGGGCTGAAAAAAGCTACCTTAACTGAGAATGGGCAGAACAATGTGGGCTTCAATAATCTTCTACGGACCTTTATTTCTCCGCATTTTCTCCTGAAATGTGGCTCAATTGGCAATTTTTGAGAGTGCTTTGAAGAGTCACAGTCAGCCCCAACACTTGTTCCCTGAAGGATTGGGTTAATAGGCTATCCTTGTACTTAGCTCTGTGCAACTTGACTACAGAAATTCCCAGAAGAGGAGAAACTGCAAAACCGGCAAATCAGACACGCTGGAGCGACACATCTTGTGTACCTCAAAATGGGGCTCCAGTATGTTCATTTCTAAATGTTACTAGCTTTTTTTTTAACTGCTTTTTCTCCCCCTTTGCATTTATGATTTGACTTGGTATGTGCAGTTCCTTCGAATATGTTGAGATGTTCTGCAATTGATCCCCGGAGAAAGAGAGAACATACAACATTACAGCGCAGTACAGATCCTTCGGCCCTCGATGTTGCGCCGACCTGTGAAACCAATCTGAAGCCCATCCAGCCTACACTATTCCATTATCATCCATATGTTTATCCAATGACCATTTAAATGCCCTTAAAGTTGGCGAGTCTACTACTGTTGCAGGCAGGGCATTCCACGCCCTTACTACTCTCTGAGTAAAGAACCTACCTCTGACATCTGTCCTATATCTATCACCCCTCAATTTAAAGCTATGTCCCCTCGTGCTAGCCATCACCATCCAAGGAAAAAGGCTCTCACTGTCCACCCTATCTAATCCTCTGATCATCTTGTATGTCTCTATTAAGTCACCTCTTAACCTTCTTCTCTCTAACGAAAACAGCCTCAAGTCCCTCAGCCTTTCCTCATAAGACCTTCCCTCCATACCAGGCAACATCCTGGTAAATGTCCTCTGCACCCTTTCCAATGCTTCCACATCCTTCCTATAATGCGGCGACCAGAGCTGTATGCAATACTCCAAGTGCGGCCGCACCTGTGTTTTGTACAGCTGCAACATGACCTCATGGCTCCGAAACTCAATCCCTCTACCAAAAGAACCTAACACACTGTACGCCTTCTTAACAACCCTATCAACCTGGCCAAAACGGAGGAAGGAAATTACCCTTTAAGGGTGACTAAAATATTAGACTCTAACTCACTCTTACTTCAGAATGAGCGCATCCAGGAAAAGCTGATGAAGATAATGTCTACAATACTCTGCAAACAGGGACAGCTGTGGGTAGTGTTGAAGTTTGTGAAGTCTCCTGGGACCTGATCACAAAATCCAAGCTTCAAGTTTGGTACTGAGGCAGCGTGGCCCTGCTGGAGGTGGCATCTTTTGGATGAGATGCTAGCTTTCATTTTCCAGGGGTGTTCTCCCCAGTCTCCTGGTCAATATCTATCCCTTAACTATCACAACAATAGCTCATCCGGTCATTTCAATATTGTTTGTGGGAGCTTGCTGTGGGTAAATTGGTTGTCATGTTTACTGCCTTACAGCAGTGAGTACACTTCAAAAATACCCAATTGGGCTTTAAGGCTTTTTCGGATATTGTCCAATTGCACTTTTAGAATCTCCCACCCAATGTGTCATCCAACCGCTATTTGGAGAAGTTAAAGCAGGTGGCATCTCAAATCTACTTTACCTCTGCCATAAATATAAGGGTCAGCTTCCCCGTTGGGCTCGAATTGGGTTCCTTCAGCATCATGGGAGATCATTTCTCTCCCTGTAACAGAAACAGGCAAGAAGAATATTATAATATCAGACTACATGTAATAAGCAGCCCTGCAGAGGGTGAGACTCTTACTCCATTTGTCTTGTAACTCATGATCAATTTGATGGCACAGTGTTAAATAGCTGATAGAACACACATACCCTACACTTTAAAGAAACTGTGCAAGTCAAAATGAACCTGCCTGTATCTACAATATCTGTGACCCTTCGAATTTTTGAAGGCCTTAATGTGGATCCACTCCCTGTCAATAGGGACATTTAACTCTTGTGAGAGTACAGATAGAGGCCACTCTGTTTTTCAACAAGATCATGGCTAGTCTACATCTTAACCTCATTTAATTGGCCTTGGTTTCAATGTGCCCTTTACTAACTAAACTGGGTCTTTTCTCACCATTCCTATTGCTAAGTTATGCAATCCTCTGTGACAGCCAGTTTTTTTCTCCCCAGTCCTCCTGATGGTAGCACACTGTGAACCACATGGTCTTGGTATGTCAGAATTAAACTACACCTACTCAACAGTCAAATACACTCGAGAAATCACCCCAGGGATCTGGTCTGGAATTATTTAGAACTTCGTTTCTGTTTGACTAGAGCTCTTCACTAACTCACCAGTAGCCACACACAGATGATCATCCTTTTTGCTTTTTTGCTAATGGACACCAGTGCATTTTTCTGTTTTGCTGCACTTGTGTCTATCCTTTGGTCCATCTGTTTGATCGGGCCTAATATCTTGAGATGATCTTTGATTCCTCAATCTTTAATGCCTGGCTGTATAAGCCAATTTTTTATTCTCTGTATATTGATTAGTATTAAGGCATGTGACTTACAGTGCCTCTTTCTCTGACCTGTAGCAAACTCCCTGCCCAGCCTCTCTAGTATCTTTCATGGCAGCTCTCACCAACACAATCAAGACTTGGAAACAAACATAAGCAATTTGCTATATTTGCCACTTGTGTTCATAGGGTTTTGAGTGTCAATGTGTGTTAGAGCAACTCAGTGTTGGGAGGAGCCTTCAGTAAATGGATGGCCAATATAATACGCCCTTCAGTTAGCATTAAATGACTACACTCACCCACATATTGAGTGCATGAGCAGCTTCCAATGCAAGGTGTACTGAGTGTAGTGTGGAGGGTTTATGCTAAGTATATTGATAGTGTACACTACCAATGAGGTAAAAGATCATATGACACCAGACTCTAGAGAGAGAGATGGTTAGCATCATGCAAATAGATGGTGGTTAATAAAAAATAATCTTACCAAGAGTGTCTCTGTTGATCCTGACAAGGGGACAAGCTCCCTCTAAGGCCCAATGTGTTGAAAACAAGCTGAATGGTACTTTATGACAATGTCATGTCTTTGTACACCTTTTGTAAAGATGA